TTTTTTATTGTGGTAAAACATACATAACACAAGATTTACCATCTTAACCATTTTTAAGTGGGCAGTTCAGTGGCATTAAGTACCTTCACAGTGTTGTGCAGCCATCACCACCTATCTCCAGAACTTTCTCATCCCAATTGAAACTCGCACTCATTAAACACTAACTCTCCAATCCTTCCTCTCCTCCGCCCCTGGTACCCTCTCTTCTCCTTTCTTTCTCTCTCTCTCTCTTTTTTTTTTTTGGTATTTATTTATTTTTATTGTAACAAAGTTGATTGTACATATCTGTGGGGTTCACAGTTGAACATCAATACCCGTGTGCAATATGTGATGCTCACATGCTCCTTTCTTTCTCGATGAATTTGCCTATTCGAGGTACCTCATGTAAGGGGAATCATACAATATTTGTCCTTTGGTGTCTGGCTTCTTTGATTTGGTGTGATGTATTCAGGGTTCTTCCATGTTGCAGCATGTATCAGTACTTCATTCTTCTTTGTGGTTGAATAATACAAGGGGTGTTCAAAAAGTTTCCGGAAGGATCTGTATTATCTTTTAATTCCATTTTTCCATGAACTTTTTGAAGTGCCCTTGTATTCCATTGTGTGTATATAACACATTTTGTTTACCCCTTCATCTGTCGATGGACACTCGAGTTGTTTCTACCTTTTGGCTATTGTGAATAATGCTGCTTTGAAGATTGGTGTGCAGGTATCTGTTCCAGTCCCTGCTTTCAGCTCTTTTGGGTATCTACTTAGGAGTGGCATTGCTGGTACATATGATAATTCTAGTTAAAAAGTTATAATTCTATAACTTTTTTGTGGAACTGCCATACTATTTTCCACAGCAGTGGCACCATGATTTAGGGTTTTAATAACTTTGTAAAACTAACAAGGCAGTCACCATTCTATAGACAAGGCGATAAAAGCGTAAGTGAGTTGCCAAAGGGTACACCACTCCTAAGTGGAAGAAGTGGGATTAGAATGTGGACCTGCCTGACCCCAAGCCCCACACTCTTTTCCCCTGTCCCACAGCTGCTCCCAGCCCTGTTTTTCTCTGAGGCCAAATTACTTCTCACGGTCTCTATGACTAGAAGAGAAAGAGCTGCTTCCACAGCCAGCCTCTCTCCAAGCACAGTCGTGGCAGCTTTCCCTGGTGCTGAGTCTCCAGCCAGAACTGGGGCAGAAGCCCACTCACTGCATGGACGTCCAGCGAATCCACAGTGAGGTCGTAGGGGTCCATGTGCAGGCTGTCGAACACCTGCCGCAGGGTGATCTTCCGGCCCTGCTTCACGGCCACGGTGCGGTCAGGCTCCGTCTGGTACGTGTGCTTGATGAAGCGCAGCAAGTGCTTCTGGTTCATGCAGGCCGCCGCGTGGATGTGCGTGTCCACCTGGAACACAGCGCCCACCAGCCCGTGAGCCGGGCCACCTCCCCTGGCAACAAAAGTTAGGACATCCAGCCCTCAGTGTGGAGCACAGAGCCTCAGCACCTATAGGCCACGAAGGCAGCCCCCACCAATGCCTCCTGATCCCCCTTCTCCATTTCTCCTCTAGACTTTGGAACTGGCGTCCCTCCCTTTAGCCTTGCTGCCCAACCCACCTCCTTACAGCAACAAGAGATCTTTTCAAAGTGTAGACTGGATCAGGCCACTGCCCTAACAAACTATCAATGGCCCCCAACACCCTCAGGATAAAGCCTGAGCACCTCAGGCTTGGGATCCAAGGCTTACACCAAGCCTTAAGTCCCATCTCGCCACTGCCCCATGCTATGCTCCAGCCATGACAACCACTCACCGGTGCTCAAGGCACCAGGCTATTCCGCACCACATCACTTTGCCCATGCGCTCCCTCAGCCTGGGATGCCTCCTTCCTCCTTCCTCCCCACCAATCCCAAACACCTGGAAATTTCCCATGGCCTCCTCCATTTGGAAGCCAATCCTGATCCCCCAAGCACACCTGATCACTCTTTCCCTTGCCCAACTGAGAAACCTCACACAGACACTCACTCCCATTGCTCTGTATGTCCTCAAGATCCACTCTAATATTTTTCTATCTACTCCTTAATTAGACCAGGAGCTCATTCAGAACAGGGACCACGTCTGACACATCTAAGCCTCCAGCACCTACCTCAGGGCCCGGCATGAAGTATTAGTTGATTCAATAGATGGATGAGTGAACAAATGAACAGGTGTGATAGATTCTAACAGTTTCATTGATATCCACATCCTCGTGTAACCCTGAGGACCCACCAAATTCCCCACAAAATCCCACTCTTCCCAGTGACCTCTCTTGGAACCTCCAGAACATTTCCAGAGAAAACCTGCTAGTGGAGGTGAACGAGAGGGCAGGCACCAGAGGCCAGCCACCCCCACACCCTTCCTGGGCTAGTTAGACTTCATCCAAACCCCAGGGCACCCAAACCCCAAGGAGAAGCAGCTCTCCTGACCCTAAGCCCACATGTAGACTCAGGCTGTGGGACCTATGGACAGAGATCTCAGTAAAGAGCAGAAGTACACAGGGGGCTTAGATTTCATCCCACATTCCATGGAAAGGCAGTTTGTTTGCAGAAAATACTAAGAAGGAGCCCATCAGAGTCTCAAAACACCTCAAGGGATTTCTCACATCTTCTGTATTGTGCTAAGGTCCTGTGACAACAAACTGTCCCCTTGCCCCTGTGGCCTCTTCTTTCAACCTCCTGAGTCAGCTTATCCTTACTACCAGACCACTCAACATTGGAATTTCTTTGGGCCTGGTCCTGGGGCCTCTTATCCTCTCACTATATACTCTTTCCAAATGTGATCTTATCCATTTCTGTGCCTTTACTTACCTTCTTTATACCAATTCCCAAATTTATATCACCAGCCAAAAGCTCCAGAATTGTACGTACAACTGCCTACGTGACATCTCCACTTGCATAACTCAAAGGCAGTTCAAATATAATTTATCCAAAAATGGACTCTCCATCTCTGACCCCAGCCCAAACCTTATAGTCTCCCAGGTTACCAAATCCCAGAAAATGCTATGTCCTGCACCCTGCTGTTTATGCTGAAAAACTGGAAATCATCCCTGACCTTACCCTCTCTCCTACCTCACAATACCCTGACCCTCAGGGTCAGTTTCATCAGTTCTACCCTCCAAATAGATCCGAAATCCAAAATCCCAGAAAATGCTATGTCCTGCACCCTGCTGTTTATGCTGAAAAACTGGAAATCATCCCTGACCTTACCCTCTCTCCTACCTCAATACCCTGACCCTCAGGGTCAGTTTCATCAGTTCTACCCTCCAAATAGATCCGAAATCCATACAGCACTCTACAAGCTCACTGCCAACACGCGAGTCTGCACCTGCCTGCTCTCACCCCAGAATTCACAGTGACCTCCTCACTGGTCTTGCCACTTTTCCTGTTACTCTAGTTCAATCCATTCCCCACACACAGAAGCTGGAATGGATTTTTTAAAGGCAAATGGATTCTGTTACTCAATACTCTTCACTAATATTAGGATGAAGGCCCTGTTAATATCAACTGGCCCTTCCCCACCTCCCCACCTCCTCATCCCCACTTTCCCTTTTCTCTGTGCTCCACTCACAGGACAGCCACCAGCCCTAAAGAAACGGAGCCCTGGCTAAGCTGAGGGATGGCCTGAAGTCGCTGTGGGCATCCTGAATCCCCTTCCATGGGGCCTACAGGGGTCCGCAGGGAGGGAGACAGCAGCCTCACAGGCCAGGGTACTAGCAACCACAGACTGTACTCTGGAGTTACTGCTGTGACCGACTGGGCACTCTGGCAGGGCTAGGGAGAGAAGGCGGCTGACCTCAGGGCAGGGAATGCTGTCCACAGCTGGCCAGGCATCTCCAAGTCAGGCCAAGCCAGATATTTGATCTATTGAGCCTCTGTGAGCATCACACCAGCCAGCCCCTGTCGTGGCCCACATCACTCACTCATCGGGGTCCTTCCTGCCACTCCTATAAGACAGACAGACCACTGGACATCTGAGACATGAAACAATTCAAAGCACCAAAAACTAAATCATCACCCAAAGCACAGTGTAAAGCCGCAGGCACCTCAGGGACAGGGCTGGGCTCACGTGGGATGCACAAGAGAAGGTCAGCCCGGCTTAGCTCGGCTGGACGTGGCGTGGTTCAACTACCTCAGCATGACTCGGCACATTCTGGGCTGTCAGGTTGTGTCCTCCAGCTGACCAGTGACACACCACAGGGGGCTCAGCTGCCCTTACCCCCATGAGTCACAAGATAAAGGATGAAAACAACTGGACAATCCAGGAAGCACCCAATCCAAACGTCAGATTCTCAAAAGTGATTATTTTAGGAACAAGTGAAAGAGGCTGTCACTGGCTGCCCATGTTTTCAATTCACCAGAAGAGCCAAGCATATTTCCTACTTTCACCTTAGATCCAGGTCTAAACAAATCGTAGAGTCTCCAAACAGGACTTGCCAATACCTGGGACCTGAGCCAGCACTGCCCACTTCCACACCCAGGGCAGACAGCAGTAATTGATTACCGTGCTCTAAGTTTCAGGAGTAGACTCCCAGCTGGTCAAGTTTGGCACAGAAGATGAAATCTATTTGCTATCCTTAATATGATACTTAATCCAAAATGGGTAATCCCTACTTCTACCCACCTCCCCAGCAGCAAACACACTCAGCCCTTCTGCCTTAGCTCTCAGCAGAAAACAAGTACCTCAGCTGCACAGTCCTGCTGGCTGGGCCTCGTAGTCTCATGACCCATCAGCTGTTGTGCTGATGTATCACAGGCGCCACCCACACAGACCCATGCCATGCCACAGCTCCTGCCCTCAGGCTGCAGCCCTGGCCTGCCCTACGACAGGACAGCCACTTCGAAATAGGGAGGCCACCTTCCAGCCCATTCTAGATTTTAGAAGCCAGCTCTCCTCTCCACAGGAGAGGCTGTGAGGTAAGATAAAGCAGCCAGCATGTGGAAGGCAGGCCCGCCCCCTTCCCCAGGATGGGCAAGCACAAGCCTGACTCACAGCAGGCCTGGGCCCATGTTTATGGCCTGACTGGTGCCAGAGATCAGGCCACTGTGTCATAGCACAGGTGTCAAGGCCGTCTCTGTCCAGAGAGCATATTACCCCCAGACCAACAGGGAGCCAGAGGACTGGCTCTGATATGTAACCCCAGCCCTGCACCAGGACTCTGCCACATCGTGGCCAGAGAGCAGCTGGTAGGCCCAAGGACACCCTCGAGACCCTCCTGGAAACAAACCATGTCAGTCAGCACAGCCAGCACAGGCATCTTCATCCAGGCACCAGGAAGCAGGCGGGCCTAGAGCATCATGACGCAGAGGGCTGCACGGGCAGTAAGGAGCCTCCTAGACCCCACCTGGGCACATCCTGGGCATGTGGAGTGCCCGGGCAGGGCTGAGAGAAGCTCACAAAATGACTGAAGCCCCCACCTGTCTGATCACCTAAGGCTTGTGGAGAAGGAACAGATGGTGCCTGAAGGTGAAAATGCCCGGCTGCCCATGTAGCTGGTGTCTAATACACGACCTTTCACCTCTGCCTGGAAATCCCTAAGACACTCCCATGAGACTCTCAGAGCCCATGAGCTGAAGCCAAGTTCTCACTTTCAAGGCTCTTGGTCCCATCCACATGGGCATCCATGGTGGGGCCCTGGCATATAACAGAGGTGATCTTGGGGCCTCCCTGGAGGGGCCTTCCCTCTGCATTGCTGAGTGCTCAGGGAGGTCTGCGCTGGACTTCCCAGAGGAGCCACAGCCACCCTTGGCCTACCCTCCCCTATCAAAGCTGACTCCAAGGAGAGGTAGTCCTCAAGAGGCCCCTGTGGACATGATGACCCACTGCAACTCAGCTCAGGATTGGCCGTGCCTCGTCCAACAAAGCCCAACCCCCACCCTTCCCCCAGGAGCTTCTTGTACCCTGGCCCACCTCTCTGCCTTCTCTGAGAAACCCAGGGGCCTTGCACGATCCAGAACCTCATTCTCCCCACGACCCACTACACCTCTCTCCGCCGGCACTCCAGCCACACTACTTGCAGTTACATCAGCCACTGCTTCAACTCCCTGTCCTTGCTCACGCCACTCTCTCTCCTGGCACGGGCACATACTGTTCCCTCCCCTGGGAACGCCAGCACCTCCCTGCCCCTACACCACCCTCTGCCTGGCGAACTCCTCCTCACTCTTTAAGTCAGCTCAGTTCTGACCTCTCCCAGAAAGCCACCCCTGTCGCAACACTTATGACACTAAAGTAACAGGCTGGGAACTTCTTGTCAACAGGAAGTGACTCTTGCTCACCATCAAATGCCCATGTTAGCACTGATCCCACATCTCACTGTATGCTACTTAAGTGGAAGAAAATGGAAAAACAGGAGGCCACGGCCATCATCTAACATGCACACTTGCCCCACTGCAGCCCCTGCTGCAGCCCAGGCCAAGGCTGCTCATCCACTCAACAGGCAGAAGAGGGGCAGAGATAATGCACATGTCAGATGCTTTCCTCTAAATACACCTGATCCCCAAGGACGCAAAACCACAAACTCCCAAGTCCAAAAACGTCTTAACAGCTTTTTCTCTCCGCAAAGAATCTATTACATGCCCTACTCTAAAATAACCTGTGCACAACATTTTTGACAGATGAACAGGCTGTGTCCCATTGTCCAAGGTAGAAAGCACATTCCAACAGATACGCAAAGAATCTATTACATGCCCTACTCTAAAATAACCTGTGCACAACTTTTTTGACAGATGAACAGGCTGTGTCCCATTGTCCAAGGTAGAAAGCACATTCCAACAGATACACACGTGGACAAAGGTTTCCACCTAGAATGACACCAGTACTGCGGCACAGCCCGACACAACGAGCGCAGCTCACCAGTCCTCCTGCACACACGCATCATGCTCCTCTGGCAAAGGAAGGCCACCCTTAGCCAGAAGCCCTGATGTTCTCACAGGGGACTAGCCCCACACTAGCTCAGGGCACCCCACAAGCTGGGAGGGGGACCGCATGCGGTAGCTCTGACCAGTGGCTGCTAACACACCTTTCTCACGTTATAGAAGTCTCGGTGGGGGTTACTCTTCAATTCTTTGAACTCAGACATTTCATTTAACATCTCATGAAGGCTGAACTTGGATTCCAGAAAGTTCAGTCGCCGGTGACAATAGGTTTTCCTGCAGGTTGGGGAGGGGGAGAAACCACAGTTGAGCAAAAGTCACATCAAGCTCTCCAGGTTGCAAACCTCTGGTGTCTGCAGGGGCCAACCCAGGCTCTGGTGGGGTGGAGCAGGGAGGGACAATGAGGTTCCAGTCTTCTACAGACCCAGCTGAACTGTCTAACCACATCCATGTACTCTACAAAGCGAGGGGAGAGTCAAGATACAGGGCAGTACAGATTTGACTTTGGAACCTCCCAAGTCTTAGTTCTGCCCTCAGACCAGTGAGGACGAAGGGCCAAGCTGCCCCTCCACCTCGGGCCCACTCTCCTCCCTTGGAGACTGGCATCACACCATTCCCAGCAAAACCCAAAAGTTAGGAGCAAGCAAGAAGGTCCTCAGGTGTGACTCGCACCCTCTCCCTCCCCAGACTCCACTCCCACACAGCCACTCCAAGGGTCTCCGAGTCCAGCGTGTTGAACCTCCATTGCTGATCTGAGTAAGTGCCCACAAGAAGTGAGGTGCCAAACTCAGGAAGACAACTACCTGCCAGGTCAGCTCAAGGCACACCCACAAGCAGCATGGGGGGCGTGGCACAGAGTTTCCCAGGCTTCCTGCATGCTCCCCTCCAGAGACACCCAAAACGCAATACATGTACAGCCATGCCCTGGGCTGGCAACTCTCTGCAAGGCTGCCATCTTGCCTGGGGAGAGGGGTGACAGCCATATTAAGGTGCACAGGTGGCCACCAACCAACAGAAGCTCCACACCTATGCATGCAGAAGGGACAGGTAGTACTGACTCTAAGAAAATGCCAGCCTGTGAAGGAAAAATGCAGAAACCCACAAAGCATCAAGGAAAGGGGAAACCATTCTCTTTCTGCAGTGGTTTATGTGCAGGAAAGCCTGGAGCAGACGGGTGACCTAGTTGGCCTTTTCCACTCCTTCCTACAGAATGGTATCCGTGCAAGAGAGGAGGGTGCAGAGAGAGCTGGCTTACGTGGGGCCATCGGTGATGAGAGCCAGGATGTGGCTCATGTCCACTGTGTAGGTCTCCAGGTCAGGGTAGGGCAGGCTGTGGGGCTCCTGGCGCTCCAGCATCTTCTGGTCATCATACACGAAGAGGATGCCCCCCTGCATGCGGACCAAGTAGCCCAGGTTGGGGGGTGCATCATGCAGGCAGTAAGGGTCTTCCTGGGGCAGTGGGGGAGGGTGGAAGTCTGCAAAACAGGACGGAGTAATGGCAAAGCCCCCCTGCCCGAGTGTGCAGTGAGGCCTGTCCTGGCCGTCCTGCCTGAAGTCCAACCACCCACGCCTGCCCCGACACCTCATACCCTCTTCCCTGCTTCAGTTGTCTCCTTAGCACTCATCACTATGTAAAATAGTTTTACTTCTTTACCTTGGGTAGCATACGTTTTCTCCACTCACACAGAAGCTCCACACAGAGATTTGGATTCACGTAGTTCACTGCTGTATTCCCCACTACCTAGAACAGTCCCTGGCACATGGCTGACACTTCAGCAACTTTTTAAAATTTTACTGAAATGAGCTTCAGTTTCCTTGCACTTCAGAGACCCCAGGAATGCTAAAACGAGCAGCTGTGTCTTCTCCCAGCAAGAATACAGACAGCACCTGGGACCGCCAGGGCGCAACTGTTCCTGTCCTCCCGCATGTTCCTGAGATCAGCGTGGTCAAGCGGGGGCTAGATGAAGAAGCCTTCCCACCCCAAAGGAGCACAGGGTAGGGAACCTGTCTCCCACAGAATGGGGAATGCCAATGACCAAGCTCTCTGATCCCCAAGGCTATGGGTTGAGTTAGCCTACAGGAGGCAGAAAATGCCTCTTTGCTATTTCCTGGCCATGAGACTGAGCAAACCCCTTTACCTTTCTGATCCTATCTCCTCACGTGAGGATATCACCTCCTGCCTTAGCAGGCTGCTGTGAAGGCTGCCACAGTGTGTACAGAAAAATTCCTGGTAAACAATAATGTCCTATAATAAATTTTAGGGCATTAGTCTTATTATTCTCATAATGAGTTTTCTTGACTCTTGATAAACTGTCTGTGGTCAAGGAATGGGTTGGTGCTAAATAGCAGTAGAACTGGGGGCTTCAACTCTTGGCAGATCAGCAAACACCATACAAGATCAGCTGCCAGGTGCCAGCCCACACGGGAGGAAACTCTGGGACCCTCATCAAAGGAAGCAACCAAGACAGGGTGACCAGCCTGGGTGTCCTCCACCAGTGCTCAGAACAGACTGTCCTTAGAGCAGGAATCACAGAGGAGCTGAAGCAGAGGTAGGGGCTGATGCCCGCCATCAGACAGCCACAGGCCAGCTCAGGAGTCCCTAAAGTGTGTCAGTGGTCTGCGAAATGCAGGCAGTTACAAAGGCCAGGTGAACCCACAGCCTGGGCTCTCAGAGGTTTCTCCACCTCACCACACACATGCCCAGGTCCCCTGTGCCCTCTGTCCATATAAAGTACGCATTGACAGTCGTTCCTGTCTGTCCTTGTCAAAACTGGGATGGCGGGATCAACTTCCCTCAGACAGACAGGGAAATGGGCCCAGAATGGCTGAGATTTACCCAGGGCCCCAGGTGGTAACAGAGGCTCAAGTGCAGGGCTCAGAGCTTCAGGAAGCCAGAGACAGGGGAAAAGTTGGCACCACCAACTATACCTAGGGGCAGCCAAGATCCCAGGCACTGGTGCAGGCCACCAGGCCCTCACCTGCTCCCCACCACTGACTTTCAGAACAAGGTTTCCTGTTGTCCTCATTTATGTTACTTACAGCCTTTATTGAACCCAGGTCTTACACAGGCCAACCAGACTGCACTAGGAAACCCTCCTGCCCTCCCTGATCTCCCCTTCCCTGAGCTCTGCAGCATAAACGTAGCTAACATTTATCAAACACTCACTAGATGCCAGGACTCCACTAAGTACCTCACATGTGTTCTCCTGTTTAATCCTCACTACAGCCCTAGGAGATAGATACTGTTAGAATGCCCATTTTACAGACTGAGAAACTGAGGTTTGGAGAAATATCTTGCCCAAGGTCCCAAGAAATTGGTGGAGCCCAGATATAAATGCAGAGCCTACTTCCCTTACCCCAGGAACATGCCCTCTACACCTAATCCCACCCCAACCCACCCTACCACCAATTCAGCATTTACTGTCTGATTGTGTTATTTTAAATATCCCACATGAGACTGCCTGCCTCCCCGGCAGACTCCCAAGATCAGAGACTGTACTTCCTCTCTCTCTTAACTTCTACAGCTCATCTCTGCACAGGGACTTGCACACAGTACACACAGAACCAGTCCTTGGCCCATGCCCTCTACACCTAATCCCACCCCAACCCACCCTACCACCAATTCAGCATTTACTGTCTGATTGTGTTATTTTAAATATCCCACACGAGACTGCCTTCCTCCCCGGCAGACTCCCAAGATCAGAGACTGTACTTCCTCTCTCTCTCAACTTCTACAGCTCATCTCTGCACAGGGACTTGCACACAGTACACACAGAACCAGTCCTTGGAGGAACCAGCAAACACTGGTGTAAGAGAAACCAACACCAGGTCTCTGTCTTTAAAACACCATCAAGGAAAACACATCCAGTCAGCAAAAGCCCTGACCAACTCTTGGGCCAGGTCCCACACTTGGGATCCTACCTCCAGCCAGAGCACCGTACCTGGGAGGCCCTCTTCCGGAGGGGCCGTGTCAGTCTGCGGATGACCCAGATACCGGGCCGTGGTCCGCGGAAAGCGGTGGTAGGCGAGCCGCGCGTACTTCTCCCGGATCATCAGGGCCTTTGCCAGGCTCTTGGCAGCCTGCTCATAGTCCTCCACGGTGATCTGCACAAAGGGGCATGCAGAGAAGAGTTCACACACCTGGCCTGGGACTGCCATCTTTAGAAAGAGCTGCTCTCAAGGTCAGCTCTTGGCTAGTATCTGGGAAGCTGGATTTCTGGGGAGTTCCCACCATTCCCTGCCTAGTAAGAAGTGATCTGCACAAAGGGGCATGCAGAGAAGAGTTCACACACCTGGCCTGGGACTGCCATCTTTAGAAAGAGCTGCTCTCAAGGTCAGCCCTTGGCTAGTATCTGGGAAGCTGGATTTCTGGGGAGTTCCCACCATTCCCTGCCTAGTAAGAGTGACTCGCTGCACCTAAACCCTTCATACAAACAATATGGCTTATGCTGGGCACCTGGTTTCTTTCTGGGAGTCTGGAAATTTGGGATGTGCTATGCAGATGTGTGACCAGCCCCAATAAAAACCTTGGGCGCCGAGTCTCCAGTGAGCTTCCCTGGTGGACAACACTTCACGTGTGTTGTCACAATCGGATGCTGAAGGTATTAGGTCCATTCTGGTGGCCACTGGGAGGGGCCCTTGGACGCTTGCACCTGGTGTCTTCCATGTCCCCTTCCCTTTGCTGATTTTCTCTGTACTCTTCCACTGTTATGAATCATCACTGTTAAGTACAGCTATATGCTGGGTTTTATGAGTCCTCCTAGGGAATCACTGAACCTGGCAGTAGTCTTGGGGACCCCCACACAGGAGACAGAGGAGGAGGGTTAGGGTTGCTGGTAGACAGTGCTCCTGCCTGCACACCTGAGACCAGCCTCACCAGCTGCCCATCAAACCACAAGCCTGCTGCTGCACACAGCACGTGAAGAGACAGAGCCCAAATCCTGTCCCTAACGAGGAGGAGCATCATCATTTTCAGTTGAGAAAATCCATGTGTCCTTAGGATGTGAAAAATAAATAAATAAACAACAAAAACAACTTTCACGTGCTCAGGCTGCTACTTTGCCAACCCCACGCTTCTGATTAAATCTGGTGATCACCCACCTCACCCAGTCCATAAGACCTTATTGTCATGTGTTATGTGCCAGACCTTTTTATAGATTTCATTTTGCTCCTCACTGCAACCCATTTTACAAATTGTGAAACTGAGGCCCAGAGAAGCTAAATCACTTGCCAGGAAGCTACAAAGTCAAATTTCAGACTCTGATCTGCTCGAGTCCCAAAGTCCAAGGACGTTTCTGCTTTCCCGGAGCTGCCTTGTATTCAAAGATGAATGAGATCATGAACCTTCCAGTGGCTCATTAATCTCAGTCAGTTTGGGAAGGATGTGCATCATGGAACTGTGACTATGCTCGGGCAGACAAACAGCCAGACAGTGTCAAAATGGGGATAAGCAATGCAGCCGGAGGGGGCCCACACACCAGTGGAGCACAGAGTGCAGAGGGCTGGGCCTGGAACTTTCTTCCTCTGCTTTCAGAAAATAATCACTTTTACTTCTGAAATATTTTAAACATACACACAAGCACTGAAGATAAGAGACCCAGGCACCTACTTTTCAGAGCTAACAATATTAAGATTTTTCATAATTGCTTCAGATCTCTTACAAGTTTAAATAAATAAACCATCATGGATGCAGCTAAAATTCTACCCTCCTGCTTCCTCCACCCCACTCCATCCTCAGAGAGAGGAAGTTGGTATACATCCTTCTCATGCGTGTTTTTATACTTTTACTAAATATTACTCCTTGCTCTTTGTTAAGGTGGTAGGTTCTCCTTTCCTGCCTCCCACTGTCCCCATGAGGATGTGTTCATCCATTTTATACCTTCCAGTGGGTGGCTTCTGAGAGCAGCAGGAATAGGTGAGCAGACACAAACACCTTAGACAAAAAACGTCCTTGCCAATGACAAAGCCAAACACTTTCTCTGCAAAACCAATGGACTCAACATGACAAGGGACTCAGGCCATGGCTAAGGGTATCAGAGAGGGTGATCAGGAACCCAGTGGACCAGGGACCACCAGACAAGCTTGCAGGCATTGCAGGCCCCATGAGTGGCAGCAGACCCATTTGGTGCCAGGAAGATAAGCAAGATCAGCCTGCTTCTCACAGACACTCAGCTTTCTGGGGACCAATTGCCAGGCTCAGGGGCTCCATGCACTACTGTGTGTCAGCCAGGAGACTGGTAGAAAGAAGCTAGTAAATGCTCCAGGCCAATGTCCTCCCATTCATTGGGGGTCGGCCCACCTTGACTCTCCCTCTGCACTGTTCTGCCCACACGCCCAAGCCTGGGTAGACATCAAAGACTCCTGGTCAGGATGCTGATCAGACAAGGCCTGCATTGTTTCCAATCCAACCTAAATTCCCATCCACAGGAGCTAGAATAAAATAAACTATGGTATACCCACGCAATGGAATACTATGCACTTGTAAGAAAAGAACAAGAAAGTTTATATGTCATATTTATATGACATTATCTCTAAGGTGTACTATTAAGTGAAAAAAGCAAGATGCAGTTTAATGTGTATATTAAATCACCGTTTGTGTAAGAATAAACTATGTGTGCATAATGAATTGTAGGTACATAGACCATCAACAAGTATGTGAGAATACACAGAAACAAAAGCCAATGGTTGCCTCTGAGGAAGAGAATGGGTAACTGGAGGATTGACACCATTTTTGTACCTTTTAAATTTTGCACATATGCAAGTATTCTCTATTATATAAATATATATATATATATATATATATATACACATATATATATATTTTTTTTAAACTAAGGGAAAATTTATAAGAAGAAAATGTATAAGCTGCTTTGCTTTCTCAGATTTACTAACGTCCTGCAACTGCTGTTTAAAAAAAAAAAAAAAAGAGGGCCGGCCTGGTGGCGCACTGCTATAGTGCGCTGCTTGGGAAGCGCAGCGGCGCTCCTGCCCGAGGGTTCGGATCCCACATACAGACCGGTTCCGCTCACTGGCTGAGCGAGGCGCGGGGGCAACACCGAGGGTTGCGATCCCGTTGCCGGTCCCGGTCCGGTACGGGCGCGACACTGAGGGGTGCGATCTGTTGCCGGACACGGAAAAAAACAAAAAGGAAAAAAAAAAAAAAAAAGAGGGCCGGCCTGGGGGCGCACTGCTATAGTGCGCTGCTTGGGAAGCGCAGCGGCGCTCCTGCCCGAGGGTTCGGATCCCACATACAGACCGGTGCCGCTCACTGGCTGAGCGAGGCGCGGGGGCAACACCGAGGGTTGCGATCCCGTTGCCGGTCCCGGTCCGGTACGGGCGCGACACTGAGGGGTGCGATCTGTTGCCGGACACGGAAAAAGACAAAAAGGAAAAAAAAAAAAAAAAAGAAAGACTGACAAGGCCAACTGAGGCATGAATAATGGGGTGGGGGACAGGGAGATAAAACCAAACTTAATCCTGGCACTAACTTAGTGATACTTCTCTTTAAGAAGTAAGCAATAAAAATACATCATCCAAACAGGTGAATTAGCATATTATCAGTGACTGAATTAACTGGCTTGGTGTAAACCAAGCTTGTTCACTTTCTAATCAAGATCCTCTTTTCCTGGTTGAGGGGGTCTAGCCTGTATTTAAAGACGCTGAACCTAAGAATGTAATTAGAGCTGAATCAGCAATAACTAATTTCACATAAACCAATCAATACCATGACTTTGAATCCATTAAAAATCTGGGAACTCTAAAGGGCTCAAGCTGGCACCTTTCTCAACGGACTAAGGGACAGAGGGCAGCGTTCTAGGACAGAGAACATATAGAACTTACAGGCCACCACCACAGTATGCCCACCTGCAGCCATGGGCCCTCCTTACAGGGATGAGGCAGCCCTCCAGACACAGCCACACCCCACAATCTCTGGTCAGGCCCTCCTTCTATGCAGACTCTTGTGCCTCCTCTCCACCACCTCCCAAACACCCACACACTAGGCCAGGCTTCAAGGTAGGCAGGACCCCCATGGCCCAACGGACCCCTGGCACACACAACACTCCCAAAGACCTCAGAGGAGCCACGGGAGACACCTTACCCCAGCACAGTAATCTCCGCTGATGGTGACTCGCTGGAACTCGGGCATGGTATAGGGTGCTGGCGTGGGCTGGGAAGTGGCTCCAGTGGGCACAGGGGTTGTGGGAGACATGGCCGGGCTGGCTGTCGGGGGACCCTTCCAATCTTGCTGTGTTGGCATTTGCAGAGACAGGGACTGGGACCGAATCATCTTGAAACTTTTCTTTCTAAGAGCCAAGGATAAGGAAAAGGGGGAGACATCAGCAGCAAATTGGGGCAAGCAATAGAGTCTTTGTTATGTGCATGGTGGTAGAATTTTTCTATAATTAATCACTGGCGCTGGGCCTACCATTAAGAAGTTTCTAATTATTGATGTCTTCCTCTCACACATGTCTCTCTGCATGAGGTACAGACAGCCCTCCAGACACCCCTACCTGCAGCCACTATGACCTGCTGTGCACAGTGTTTGCACGGCACACAGAGCATTAGAGTAGGAAGATGCCACAGGAGACAGACAGACAGACAGCAGACCGTTAGGGGCTCTAACACCACAGGACATGAGAGATGAGGATGACATCAAATCAACCAGGCTTCCCTCACAGTGTGGACAGCATGCTATCTTCAATAAGCCAAACTCTACATCTCACCATAGGACCACTCTCAGGAAGGACCACAAACAAGGTCACAGGAGCAATCACACTGTTACACAATCACAGAGTTAGACACTTAGGGCAGTGGAGCCAGAAGGGATAGTGGTGATCAATGAATCCACCTTCTTGTTTATAGAGAAGGAGCTAGGGTTCCAGAGATGGGAAAGGGTTTACACAAAGTCACACAGCAAGGTGGCAGCTCTACCCAGCCACCGCCCTCCTCCTCCTTCCTCAAGCCTAACGTTTGCCATCTTGGCGGCCGCTGCTGGAGCAGGCACAGCTCTGTGTGTATCTCTGTTATGGGAAAGGGATTGATCAGTGTCAACTTCAGCTTCCTCCAGACTTGTCACCTTGGCATCAAAAGATGACTTCACTAACTGTCGGGATTGAGGTTGGTTCAAAATGCCATAAGCTCAGGCTTATTTGCAAAGCTGATGTGTGCTGACTCAACCTTCCTCATTAATGATATAGTAATGTCTTAAATGACATCACCCCAAGTCCTGGAATTCCCAGGAAGGAAATTACCCAGCAGTGAGGTGAAGCCCCCATGTCTCTTTCTGCCTCCAGTGGAACCCAGCTTTCCTGCACTGCCACCACAGTGCACAGCACCAGGAGCTAGCTGACCACTTGCCCTACCTGTGCCACAGGGGCCCAGCAGCTTCCTGGGTATTTATTCCACCACAACCAGGGCCTACAGCCACCAGCAAAGGACTCAGTGACAACTACCACCCTCCAGAGCCCATAGGGTCCCTCCTCTTCCCCGGGCACCAGTGATTCCCACATGACCTCATGGCTCTCCTGGAAGCAACTGTCTTCCTGTCAGCGACAGGTCTCCTCATGGCTGAGCTACAGTTCACTTTACCTGTTTATACACCCACCATCTGCCATGGTCCATCCTCTGGTTCTCACCTGCCTACCTTGTGTTATCACCTCTTGGGGACAAAGCTGTCTACACTTGGAACATGGAGGTGGCCCCTTTTCAGGAGTTTACCTTTGCCCTGCCCCTGGCCCCGCATAACAGACGCACCAGGCTGCTTTGGGAAACTCAACCTGAACTCCGGAAGCCCCCAGCCCAGGCTTTCCCTAGCCTGCCATCCATCACATGGGGCTGAGATGAGCATCCTGCCCCAAGGAAGATGCCAACTCGTGCCAGTCGGTCACTCCTCAGAGGCAGATTCACCTTGAGCAGTGAGGTTCTCCCTTTGGCATCTTTTGCACATTCACACCTACAGGAAGAGCATTACCTTCGGCTCCCTCTCACATTCTGACAGGCTCAGCTGGTTCCCAAAAGACTCACGCTTCTGTGTCACTTACATGCCTGCCAGGTCACTGTTTTTACTTTATGCCAATCTCTCCCCTAAATGCTATCTGAGGTCTGGTCCTGCCAAGGAGAAGCAACAGGTGACATCTAAGGTGAGCAACAGATAAGAAGGAAAGAAAAAAAAAAAAAAAAAAAAACACAACTGGAAAGCTGAAAGGCTGCCTAAGTGAAGAGCCTAGGTCTGGTCCTGCCAAGGAGAAGCAACAGGTGACATCTAAGGTGAGCAACAGATAAGAAGGAAAGAAAAAAAAAAAAAAAAAAAAAAAAACACAACTGGAAAGCTGAAAGGCTGCCTAAGTGAAGAGCCTACCACGCTTGTCCTAGGAATGTCCATGTTCTTCTGCCCCAGGGAGGAAGCCAGTACCCACCAGCTGGTGCCCAGACAATTCTTCTTCTTGAAGACATCCATTATGGCTACAGCCTTGATCTTCAGGTGAGGTCCAGATTGTCACATATCAGCATCTGTGGGCTGGGCACTGACTTTGCAGGCACAGGGATAGTTTTAAGAACAGGTGGGTCAGTTCCTCAGGGCCCGCTCACCATGGGCAGGGGCTTGGAATAACCAGAAGCTAATCACTGAGCTTGCATCTCAGAAAGTTGTTAAAGTTGGATGGAGCCCAAGGAGAGGGGCCTGTATTTGTCTTCTATTGATGCATAACAAATTGCCAAAAACTTGGTGGCTTAAAACAACACCCATTTACTAGCTCACAGTTCTGTGCATAAGAAGTCTGTGTGTGCTTGTCTGGGCTCTATGCTCAGGGTATCGAAAGGCCAAAATCAAGATGTTGGCTACCCTGTGCTATCGTCTGGAGGCTCTTGGAAAGAATTCACTTCCAAGCTCCTTCAGTTTGTTGGTAGAATTCAGTTCCATGTGGCTGTAAAACTGAGGTCCCAAGTTGCTTGCTGCCTTTGGCCAGGGGTCACTCTCAGCAACTACAGACCACACTCTGATCTTTGCACGTGGCCACCTCCACCTTCAGAGCTAGGAATGGTGCGTGATTGTAGTGCTTTGAATCTCTCTTACTCTCCCTCTTATCAGCCTGAGAAAGCTCTCTGTTTTTAAGGGCTCGTGTGATTAGATCAGGCCTACCAATAACCTCCCTATATTAAGGTCAACTGTGCCATATTCCATAACATAATCACAGGAGTGATATTCCATCATATTCACATATGGTCTGGAGGTTAGGGAGGGACAGCTTTGGGGGCCATTTAAAAAATTCTGCCTACCATAGGCCCATATCTAGTATAGATTCTGTACAACTGAGGTTCAGCCAACAAAGGTGGAGAGTGGCAGCTGAGTGACTGTGTGTGTGCGTGTGTATGTGAGTGTGTGTGTGCATGTGTACGTGAGGGGGGGTATACCCGCCCACACGTGTCCTTCCCCTCTCAAGGCTCTCTGAAGCCCCACTTGTGTCACAGTAATAAAAGAAGTCACCATTAGCTTTATCTGTATTATAGAACCATGGGGTCTTGTGGCTGGAAAAGACTTTAACGACTACGCACCCCAACTCTCTCACTAAATCAACCTTTGCTTGAACATCTCCAGTGACAGACAGCTCACTACAGTCCTGCCTGAGACATCGGCATTCAATCATTTATTCAATAAACGTCTACCAAGTACCTACTCCAAGACAGGCCAGAGCTAGACACACAAACACAAAGTTGAACAAAACACGATCTGTTACCACTGTTAGAAAGCACTTCTTACGATGGCCAAGACCTGTCTGTCCACAGCCCCACCTGTGGCACCTTGTGCTGGCCCCTGGGGCAGGCACTGGAGTAAACCAGCTTGCTCTGCCACAGCTGCACGCCCCCGCCTGCCCCTGCCCACACGTGCACCTGGCACATACACACTCCCGCCAAGGAGCTGGCAGAGTGCGGGGCTGTGAGGACACCAGCTCCAGGCCAAGCCTGAGGGCCCAAAGGGCCAGGGAGCTGCTTTGTCATCCCTGATGTGGTTGGTCTTCCCAGGGCACAGGGACCTTCTTGCTGTCCAGGCCCTCAAGACAGGGAGGTGATCTGGTCACAGAGGCTGTTATTACAGCATCTCATCTCCCAGCACCTGTCTGATAACCCCACCTGCTCGATGGCCCTTGGCTGCCCCTGCTATTCTCTGTGTCTCTCCCCCACCCTCCCCAACTCTCCTCAGCTCCTGGGAATCAGGCCCCCCCAGAGTCTTCCCTTATAAAATCTGATGCGTATGCTAAATCCAAGTTAAGAGTCCTTGGGGCCTCTTTTCTCTTCTAGAGAAGAGCCAGCATCTCCCCAAGGCCTCTGAAGCCCACTGCCCTGCGCAGGCTGTCCAGAGGGCTGCCAGGCAGGCGGGTACCAGAGCAAACCTTTCATCGGGCTCTCAAATGTGTGCCGTGAGTCACTTCACTCCCTAAACCTCCCTGTGCTGGGCCCTGGGGTAAACGGGTAGATAAAATATGACTCCTGCCTTCCAGGTGCTGACTGTGTGATGGCAGAGAAGGACCAGACGGCTCAACAGATTGTTATCATACAATGTGGTCTCTGTAATGAGATGCCCAGGATATTTTGGGATCCCAGAGGAGACACTTAATCCACACTGGGGGTGGGAGCAGTGGAGCAGCAGGGACAGCAAGAGGGGACATTTCAGAACCGGAGACTTGCTTGAACTCCTCCCCACCCACATTATTCTGGCAGCCCCTCCCCCTCCAGATGAGAGTTGTTACTGTAAAGGCTGGAGGCAGGATAGCATTAGAACAGCCATTTAACAGATTTCATTTGTATAAGTGATTTTGTCCAAGGTCACACAGCTAATGCACAATGAAGGCCTGTCTGGTGCTGCAACTACCCTGAGCTTTTTATCTATACGTATAGTAAATTGATATTCAAAACATGTCAATGAATTGTTCTTTGATTAAAATCCAGCATTCTGATTTTAAATGCTATGCTCTGTCTATACATTGCTGGCCTTCTACCACAAAGCTGGTTAAAATGTGTTTGTGATACATTTTGCTTTCTTGGCAGCTCACAATACTTTTTTCTACAATGCATCATCAAAAATATGGTGGGTCTTCAAAAAGTTCATGGATTCATATTCATGGATTCATATTATCTCTTAATTCCATTTTTTACATGAACTTTCTGTAGTATATGCAAACTATATGATCTTTATGAAATAATTATTCATTATCCCAATTTTTTACTGGAGCATGCTAGTATGGGCTTAGGAAGAGTGGGATAGGTTGATTTTTAATATAAGTACGTATGGAAATATAGTAACAGTGATGAATATATAAAATCAAATTTCCAATTTATTACCTAAAAATTTCTTAAGGGCACATATTAGTGAAAGAATATATTGGCCATGCAATTTGTATACAGTTGATATGACATGATGACAAATGCCCTTTTCCCTGACATTATGTTCTTTATTGTAATAATAAAGAAAACAAAGTTAGGAATTACGCTATCTTGTCGCTAAGCATGCAATCTTAGCTCTAAGGTCAGTTGCGCTAGTATATTTAGATATTTCTATAAACTGGAACTAGCTCTAAGGTCAGTTGCGCTAGTATATTTAGATATTTTAGTGAGAGTCAGAGCCTGACTGAATTGCAAGTGGGTTACAAATGACATGGCAACCAATCTTTTTTCCAAAGAACCAGTGGTTGTTTCTTGGTTTCATTGGAGGCAGGAGCCACAAAGCAGCACAGGGTTTTGTTAACAATGTGAATTTGAATGTCATTAGGTTAGCAGGCACTCTCCACTTCCACAGCCTCATCACTCTTATTGCTTTCACTGTCACCGCATCGATTCACATAAAATCGGCACCCCTAGTGTAAGAAGGGGACTAGCTGAGGAGCTGGCATCTACTCTGTAACTGAGACCAGAAGTCCCAGCCTACCTGGAAGGGGGAATGCAGAAACAGCCGACTATGATGTGTGCTGCATAATGGACAGTATGAAAGGGGTATGCAGAGGCCACTTACTCTGCACACACGATCAGGTGACCAGCAGTCTGCCCAGGTGGGTGCAACTTTGATTCACACACCTTGCAGCCCTTCAGGTATGAAGACTCACAGCCTCACCCTCTGTCTTCCCCTTCACTCCCCTCTGATAACCTCCCCTCCTCTTCTGTCCCCCATTCCCTCCGGTCCACTCCTGACCCACTGTAGTCCCATTTGTCTCCCCCCGCCACTCACCTCCATTTCTTCCTTTCCCCAGTCCTTCCCAGCTGCCCTCCTCCCTAAAGACCCCAGAGGTCAAAATGAAGTACAATCTCTACTACCTTTCAAATTAAATGTTACAATTTCTATTCTTAACTTTAAAAGCAGATTAATTGACTGTTTTAAATGAAGCTCCTTTGTTGGCCGTAAATTTTAAAAAATGTTACCCATCCCTGATTTAAGAAGTATCATAAAGTAAAATGATTTAACAACACTTTAGCTATGCTATGCTCAATTCATAATAAATATCTGTTTATTTATCTTATTCAAAATATTCTTAGGGAAGTGGATGCTCTGGGTAGCCAAATTTTTCAGATAACAAAGTCTGTCCCCTTTATATCCTCATTTTTTAAAAAAGATAATTTTGGTAACATAGCTCCTGCATTCTTAATCAGAGCATACTGAGCATAATTTAAAGTTCTCTCAATGACTCAGGGTCGTTACTGTATTACCCAGTCACAGTCTTACAGGTGTTTTGTCTCCAGACTGTTGTGCTTCAAATTCTTCTGCCTGCTTTTCATAATTATTCTGTTTCCTCCCTCACTGTTGACTGCTGAATAATAACAATAATAAAAACAGGAACATTAATGATGCTCCAAGCACAGCACTAAGCATTTTATGTGTATTAGCTCATATAATTCTCATAAGGCAGGTCCTTTTATCTTCCTCATTTCACAGATCAGGAGACTGGCTCAAGCAGTTAAGAGCCTTCACCAAGTCCACTCAGGAGTAAGTGACAGGGCTGTCATTTTGAATCCAGTCGGTCTGACTCCAAAGCCCACGCTTATAATCACCACACATCACCTCTGTGACCCTACCTATAGAAGTCTCCCTCCCACTTCTAATTTGTTCCTTTAAATCTGGCACAAGATAAGAAAAAAGACAGCCAGCTTATTAGAAATCTGTGTAAAATAAGAATAAATAGGAGATGGGATGGGAGGTGCCACAGTTGGAAAGGGAGCTGGGGCGAAGGTGCATGAAAATGTTAACCTTTTCACAGCTAAAGGGTATGGGGTTTCTTTTGGGGGTGATGAAAATGTTCTAAAATTGGTTGTGGTGATGGTTGCACAACTTTGTGAATATACTAAAAACCATTGAATTGCATACTTTAAATGGGTG